CAGCCTTTGAATTGAAAGTAAATAAACGCCAACAGCGACAGCAGATTTCATATAGCAACCATACAAACACGTAATTACCTAGATATGCGTGAAACACTGTTGTGCTGGGGAGAAGAGACGGGGAGGCTTGAATATTTCAGATGAGGTCATATTGAATGCAACGAAAAGCAAGTAAATCTCACAAGTAATAAACACTGAATGGAAAGGGAAATTATGTGACACATACACACATACATACGTGCAAGCGTAAATATTTATTTTAAAGTAATATATGTGTGTCAGTGAAAAGGTAATGCATCGAGCAATTTGGCAGCGTTGACGCATATTAAAATGCATACCCATAGGTACTTTTGTAAGTACTTGACGACATAAGCATTTATGTATCTACGAGTATGCTGGAATGGATGTAAGAGTGTTGAATATCAGTACACACATATACGACTTATGGTTTCTCTCAATCCATATTTTTATCTAAACAAATATCCTAATGCATGAACGTACACACACATGTAGGCATATTTATGTACATGTATGTATGCACGTTCGGCCAAGTTGGCGTTTGGCTGTTAGCCATCACTTGAAATATTAGCTTTCATGTCTAGCCCGCAGGCTTGTTGACATGGCCTATTTCATTTATTTTGATTTTTTGCAAAATTTAATTTCATGTTTAGCTTAAGCGTATACATTTGTATACTCATATACATATTTGTAAGTGAAGGAAAAATTTAACTAAACGAACACAAACATGAGATTTCTAGCAATTCATTAAGTTTTCAGGAATAATAATGCAATAAAAATAATAAACAGTGAGTACTGTTTAATAAATAATAATAAATCATAAATATTTAATAATTAATAATAAATAATAAATAAATAATATATAATAAATAATAAATTAAAAATAATAAATTGATAAGAATAACAATAAAAAAATTATAATTAAAAAATAACAAAAAATAATAAATTGTAAATAATAGATAATAATAATAAAAAATAATAAATAGGTATCTAACAAATAATAAGTAATAATAAATAAATAATAAAGAAATAAATAATAAGTAATAATAAATAAATTATAAAGAAATAAATAATAAATAATAAATAATAAATAATAAATAATAAATAATAAATAATAAATAATAAAATATATAATATCAAATATTAAATAATAAATAATAAATAATAATAAATAACAATAAAATAATAAATGATGGTGGTTACTTTGATAGATAAAATGTAATACTTGTATAATGGCACAACGCAGCACCCCAAATACATTAAATTATGAAGATCCAAGAATAACAATTAAAATAACTTCACTAAACGCCAGACACTTCTGCGCTGTTGTTTCCACTTCTTTTGCTTACATCGTGGGAGAATGCATCGAATACTTTCAAAGCTGGAACGCTCTCATTAATTCTGGTGACATGACCTACCATAAACCATAAATCGTCCGCAAAACTTTTCTCTCAAAGACTTCTATGCCGACCCCATTGGATGTCGACATCCGCCACGCATCTGCGACACATAAGAGAACGGAAATTATGAAATACTTGAAGAGTATCGGTTTGGCTCGGCTAGAGACCACTTAACTTTTCAATTACCTACTCAGCCCAAGGTAGCACCTGTTAAAATCTTACTGTGCTCTCGAAGGTGGCATTAAAATCGATAAAAATGTAATATGTAAACAATCTTTCTGCTGGATTTTTTCCAAGATTTGTCGTATGATGAATATCTGGTCAATGGTGGGCTTGTTAGGCTTAAAGCCACACTAATAAGGTCTCATCAAAGGCTATTGGCACAGATCGTGGTATTCTACTTTTTATGGTTTGGGTAGAAACCTAAGTTCCAATGATCGGTCATGCTTTCATCCGACCATATTTTGCAAAAAAAATTATGAGAGAAACTCTTCAGCCCTTCATGTCATATTTCAATGATTCAACCCGAGAGCCATTAGCTCTAGCGCTTTTGTTCACATTTAGATGGACAATTGATGTTCGAACCTAATTACAATCACGCAATACAACGACTTTTCCATTACCTTGGTATGTGGTTTCCTGTTCACCATCTCCGGGGGTTGATTTTTTTTGCCATTCAGCAGGCTGGAGAAGTATTCCCTTCATACACCAATTGATTCATACTTCCTTATTATATTCCAACGGCATAAACTCTCTATAGCTGGTGATTTATGCTATGGACTGATCATAAGTTATTCACAGCAAAGCCTATTATTAGGGAAAAATAAATTCATCTCTAAATGAACACGTTGTGCTGACTGGATGCTGCAAAGGATGGTTATACCTATGAAAGGGAAGTTCAAGTGTGTGGTTACTTCTGAACCTTGACTTATGCATTGAATTTAATTTGATTCGTTCATACATTTTTAAATGTACAGATGCATGTACATATATGCGAATTTTGGTCTAGTAAAAGATAAACCATTATTTGTATAACAAAATTGGCTTAGTGTCAGGCCGCTGAAAATTATAAAAGCTCTTATGGTCCTGATTATTTTTTTTGGTTTCCTTGGCTTCGTTCCAGTAGTTTTGATGTAAAAGACGATGTGGAAGTCAATTATGGAAAATGTTGATAAAATAAAGGAAATCCTCAAGTTTGGCTATCATGTGCACTGTTTCGATTGCCACGAGATAAACATAGTACAAACTACGGTTTTGAACAACTAGAAAAAAGCTGAATCCACAAAGAAGATCGATGTACAATATGTGTGTCACCTGAGTTAAAGAGAAGAAAGCTCATGAAACGATTTTTCATCTGCAAAACGCTGCCGAATCGTAACATGACTGGTAATGAACGGTGGGTCACTTACAGCAACCTTAAGCGAAAACGCTTGAGTTCGAAGGGCACAAACGGTCTTTAAACCATGGTTAAAGAAATCGTCTTCAAAATCTTGCTTTTTAAGCTAATCAAGTTCAGAATCAACCACATTAACTATCTCCTCGTTGCCATTAAAGAGCTTTCCCTAAAAATTTTTTTTAATTTTTGAAAATAACCAGAAACCACAAGGTGCTTTATCCGGAGAATATGGTACTGAATGTATTTCTTCGATCCCAGGGATCCCAATAAAATTGCTCGTTATTTCAGCTGTGTGGGATGGCGCGTTGTCGTGATGCAAAAAGTAGCGCCGCAAATCCTCTTTCATCCTGATTTCCAATCAATTTTTTAAAAGTATTTGTGTTGAACATTCTTCGGTGTATGTATTGTCGTTACCGTCTCACCCTTCCCCAGTGGTGATTTTAGGTCGGGTGAAGTAAACTGACATCATTACTTTTGCTGCTAGTTTCTGTTGCTTAGATTTTACGGGTGGGTTTGTTCCTTTTTGGCTCCATAACATGTATTGATGTTTGGTTTCAGGACCGTGATTGCTAAACAAAGATTAGTCATTAGTAATGGCCTTACTAAAGTTGCATGACTGAACATTTTCGAATTTGTTTAGGAAAATTTGAGCAGAATCGAGCATTGGTGGTGGAATTTTGCCTGACCTATATCCTCAGCTATCTTGCATTCTCTCGTCTCCATTGTAGCCGATCGTTCTAAATTTTGAAAGACAGGCAAATAAAGTAATTGCAAGGGATTGGGCGGTTTTAGATTTAACAAAAACAAATTGAAAGTCTCTAGCTCCCCGAACTATTAAATTGACTATTAAATCGATATGGATGTATGGAATCCAGTTATGAGGCACAGATTGGGCTAAATATAGAATTGGCTAAATATAGAATCCATTGAGAATATAATGAAAATATCCATAGATCTAATATATGCACAATCAAAGAAGAGATTGAAAGCTGTTCCTCATCCGAATCTTTTGGATATCATCTTGTCCTCCGCAATGAGTCAAACGGGCCTGAAGAGAAGGAATTTACTAGTGAGGGTTCTGATATCCAAGCAGATTCAGAAAATAAATGCAAGTGTTACGAAAAAATGTATTTACCTACGACCTAACAAAAGTGATTTGTTCTAGCTGGAATTTTCGCTAATGACTGCACTTTTATCATATCTACAGGCGTTGTCATAAATGTATGGTCTAAAGTTCAAAAGGCGACTGACTGAATTTACAGCTGAATGATCCAATGGCGATTGAAGGTTAGCGAGGCAAAGCCAACTCATTCTACTTTTATAACCACAAGAAACACATGTTCACAAATCAATATAAAGGACCTCCGCCAATGCGAAATGGAGGGCACATATCGCCACTATCTCCATGGGGAAAAAAAAACTTAAAATAAAATTTTGTAGTTTCATAGTTCTTTACAGAGAACAAATAATATGACATATTATCTATCTGTCGTTATGCGATCCTTGGCCTTGTTGTCATTTGTTGGAATTAAATCACAATTTTCGCAATGATTTCCAGCGTTTCCAAATATGTCATATGGCGATAGCAGCTACTTTTCACATATCCTCGATCCCGATCTCGTTTCTAGTTTTTATAAATAGCACAAAGTGATTAAATCTCCTTTCCACAACAAATCCAATACCAAACATGCGCTAAAGGTCCTAAGGTCTTATTTTCTTGTGTGTTTTTCCCATTCATCGCACTTTTAGGATTGTGGGGATGTCAGCGTTCCAGCTGATGTCAGGAAAATTAACCAAAATGGACAGCGGCACCTTCTAATTAAGGAATCAGACATCCTTAATACATTTGCAGTGGTGGTGATCAAAAAGGAGAGTATTTAATCAAAGACCGTTGTCTCTTTTTCGTATGAGCTGGTTTCTACGTGGCGGGTTCGAAACCCAGCCTACAATCTCGTTGAGCGAGGTTTTGCGTCTTGATGTTTCCAACAAGTGGAGGGACCTACAGTTTATGTTAAGCCATTTCCTGCCAAGAGGCGACCGCGATTTGAAAATTGTAACTTAATTTTCTATAATTTTTGGAGGCAACTTTTTGATACACAAACAAGAAAAACCATACTTTCTCTTTAGCGTGGCGTAGGCGTAGGAACTATTCAATCCAATAAAAAAAGCAAAATATGTAGAATAGGTTTCACTTCAGGCATCGTTAAAGAAAGCGAATAATAGCCAAGTAAGCTTTATATTTATTTTTTATTTTTATTTTATTTAAAATTTCACCAACACAACACCCACATAAGGCTCCGCCACATACGTTCTTGGATCAACAATGTCACTAAAAATATAAAAATATACAATGATTGCTCAACACAGGGTGAAAGGCCAATAAAAAAAAGGAATTTAACAAATGACTTCCCCTCCGCCATACGTACCCATCATGATATGTCGATTGCAATGATGAAGTGATCACCTCCGCCTGTCCACCCATATTGAAGTGTTCATTGATATTCAACTGCAGCCTTTTGCCGCTCAGATTGAGTACAATAACAAATAATTCATCACGAGGCGCCTCGCTGCAATAAAAAATTACAATATCATTTTGTATTTGAAAAGCGAATTGAGCAACAATTGCAATGCAACTTAGAAGCTCGGCACAATATCAAGTACTTCTGCACCAACACTATGAAGTGCATTATGTAATGAGTGCATGAAAGTGGCGCCACTTAAGTATGTATCGCGAGTGGGCTAATAAAGTAGTTGGGTGTGTGAGTATGTGGGAGTAAGACTGTATATTTGCATACACACCGTGAATAGATGATAATGTCATCGCCAATCGCTTTTATCTTAAGTTCACCATCTTGGAAAGAGCGTAATTGACGTAGGCGAATTAATTTCATAAACATCTGTAAGTGACTCTTTGGCGCACGTAATTGGGCCAAGGCATTTAGGGTGCGATAATTGCTGGCAACTGGCAGCCAAGTGTGATCAGCGGTGGAGAAACCTAATATGAACAGAAAAACGTTTATGAAGTAATTAAAAAAATTAGGAAAATTTTTCATAAAATATTAGCATTTTTTGATAATATAAATTAACACACCAGCATTTTTCGAGGCATCCCACTGGTAAGGTGTACGGCAAGGATCACGTGAGTAGTTTTCATAATTGCTAGGATTTGCATTGCAGCCTTGCGGATCGACAGTTTGCTCCCATGTTACTTTACCATCTGTCATGCCTAGCTCTTCGCCCTGAAATACACATATTAAGGAATAATACACAATTTTAATAAGACGGACTTTTCTTAAGGGGATGCTTAATAAAACATGATTACAAACGTATGATTGATTTCATATCATAAACCTATGCTATTACAAATAAATTATAATATCACATGATATGAACTTATACATGATACGAACTGAAACAAGATTTAATATGAGGTGATGAGATGTGATATTCTATGAAATATATTATATTTTTATATCAGATGATATGATATCGCATAATTAGTTATGACATGCGAATGATGTGACATGATATGATATGATAAGGATGTTTGAAATTATAAGATAAAAGTTAAGGTAATATGATATGAAATTATGTCACATAATATAACGTGACTTAACATGAGCTAAGATGTGATGATATGATAAGAAAAGGTTTGATATTTTATCATATGATACGATATGATGTCATATGCTAAATCATGATATGTGATATGATGTGCAGAGATATAGAATAATCTAATATGGTTTTATGTGATGTGATTTGATTTGTCATACAATTTGATATTATGTATTTAAACATGATGTAATGGGATTTCAATATGAAATATGATTTGATATGAACTGGTATGATATGATGTGATGCGATATAATATAGCATGATATGAAGTGATGTGACATGATTTGACATGATGTGATAGATATATAGACGTGATATGACAAGCCACTGTAGGATATTTTGTGTTTTGTTTTGATTTAATACTATATGATATTATATGATTAGATTTGATAAGATATGACGAGATATCATGTGATATGACATTATTTGATATGATGTAATAAGATGAAATATCACATGATGTAAAATGTATTGTCTTTAATATGATATTATAAAATAATAAAGTCTGCTTGGTATATGTTTTTTATGATACGATGTAACATCATATGATCCAATCTAATTTTTGCTTGTGATGTCATTTTGCTATGTTGTCAATCGCCTAAAACATACATTGTAAGTCACCGCATTCCCCGGTAGAGTTTGAAGCAAAATCGTAAATAAATCTGCGCGTTGTACACCTAATCGTGTGGAATATCGTGGATTGTCATGATTGCCGAGTACCCAGTTGGCGCTCACACCTGGCGGCATGCGTTTAATCCAATCATTGATATAATTCACAATATCGCCCGCAGTTGAATCATTTTTCAAACTCCTCATTAAATAGAAATTGAATGGCACCATAGAACCATTTCGCTGACCATCACCATAGTATAACATTAAATTATTCAAAGTCGTGTAGGCCTCTGTCAAGAGAACAGGAGACTCGCCGCCTTTCTCCTTCTTATACTGTTCCACCAGTTCACGCCACTGATAAACCATTTCAATGGACTCCGGTTGATCTTGTGTATAGGTGTGATTTAAATGACACCAATCATCGGGGTCGGGACATTCGCTGACATTGTCAATTACAGGCTCATCGGGAAAGTTACCATTTGCATCCGGACCCTTTTCAAACATAAATGGCAAGGCGTCAATGCGAAATCCTGAAATGCCTATATCCAACCAAAATCGCATCACCTCTTTCATCTTTGCCACCACCAAAGGGTTGCGGTAATTCAAATCAGCTTGCTTTATGGCGAACTGATGCAAATAGTATTGTTGTCGCTTTTCATTCCACTCCCAGGCGCTGTAACGAAACGCGCTCACCCAGTTGCTCGGTGGTTGACGTCTACCATTGGCATCCACTGTGCCATTCGACCACACGTAAAAGTCTTCATAGCCCGGTTCACGATTAACCGATTTCACAAACCACTCGCACTCATCACTTGTATGATTCGGCACAAAGTCCAGTATAATTCGAATGCCTACTTGTTTAGCGCGTGCAATTAGCGCTTTAAAGTCTTCCATTGTGCCATACTCGTGATGTATTGCGTAGAAATCAGAGATGTCGTAACCAAAGTCGACCATGGGCGATTTGAAAATAGGTGAAAGCCAAGCGGCAGTGAAACCGATATCCTTGAGATATTGCAATTTCGGGGCGATACCTGAAAGAGATATTATAATTAAAAATGTGTAGTTGGAACAGTGAAAAAAAAGAAATAACTATAAGTAAACCCAAAGACAGTTTATACGTAAGTGCTGGGACCACAGCTTATGCAACAATCTCAAGTAAAACTTCAGGGCTGGTAAAAATGTTTTAAATATAAGCCTCAATGAGTGGTCATAAAGAATGTCCCAACTAACTCTATGTTTTCTTCTAAATCACTTCCAAAATAAAGCTCCAACAAAATCCCATACATATATATATTGTATATATATATATATTTCGACCGAAACCATAGTTTATTTTAAGCAGCCTCCCAACGATCGATAGATTTGTATAAGTTGTATATCGTTAATACTTTGTAAGAAATGTACCTATTTGTTCTTTGCTGGATAGTAGCGAGCCATTGATTGGTCTGCGACTCCATTGTGACATCTATTACACCGCTAACTTTTAGTGAATGGGCGCACCGGCAAGGTTGGCTTTTCAAGACCAGCGTCAGATATAGCACATTTCGATAAAATTGAGGAAAAAATTAGAGCTTTGATGAGCTTTTTCGATCGTCTCGAGGTGCATTATCATATAGCCTCTGTGAAGTAGTTCGAAAGTTCTTCCTCACCCAAATAAATCCCAATGTCAATGTTGAAAATAACGAGTTATAAATGTGTACTGAAACAGGAGTTTTCCCCTGTTGAGTGTAAGGTTGTAACCTATAAAAGTGCCAAAGATCATTTTTAGTTGTAAAAATTCTGAAACTATGAGGTTTAATTAAGCTATTTTTTTTTTAAGAGAAGAAAAAATATGAAAAGATTGTAGTGCGAACATTTTCCTCTGAATTTGATTATACAAAGAGTCGCACCTAACCAGGTGCGGTCTATTCCTGGCTAGATTGGACAAACATAACTAGTTTTTTGGTTTCTCGAAGTAAGTGCGCAAATACTCTTCAGTACGGAAGGAAAGTTTTGCTTAATTACAATTTTAAAATTAATATAACTTCAACTTCCATTCACAATCTTACCATTTAAATCACCAATGCCATCGCCGTTACTATCACGAAACGAACGCGGATATATTTGATAATAATTAGCATTTTCCCACCATTCCTTGGTGAGCACCACATTTGACCGATAGCCCAATAAGGTAATCACAGCAAGAAAAACACGATAAATATGCATAATTGAATGCCAAACCATACACTTTTTATAAAACGTAAAAAAAATTAAAATAATGTTATACTATTCCCATTAGAGCTTATTTAGAATGGTGAAACCGAACAACCTTTTTAGTAAGTACCGAATTCGAACTGAACTAAAAATTGACGTATTCGCGTATATTTATATGTGGCACTAGAGAATTAAGTACACTCAGAAAAAAAATCACTATATTTTAGTGGGAAAAAAAAGAAAAAAAAATTTGAAAAACAAAATCTATTAGTACTAATTACTTTTTTCACTTTGACAAGTGAATGTGAGAGTAAACATTTCACTTTGATTAATAACATAAACAAATTATTATTTTAATAACTTAATTTGATGATTAAATAATATATTTTTCAGGCTAACGCATTGTATACTTTATTAATGGCTGTTAGTGTTATTACCTGACACTTTCTTTAATTTTAACGCAAAAAGTGTGTTTGATAATTGAAATAATTTAATAAACGGGTAGGGGTTTAAATCCTTTTTTTTTTGCTGAGCCCATGAAGGTTTGAGCTTTTGCTAAAAGTTAAAATAAAATATCTTCCGATTTCTGGTTTTGCTTCTTGATGTTTTCCAACAAATGGGGGGAACTTATACTAAGCGGCCTCCGAACAGCTGATGGTTTCTTTCATAAGGAGGCTTTATTTCATGTCCGAGGAGTTGAATGGGTGGACATTCCCTGCCGAGGGGCAACCGCACTTAGAAAGTTTAATTTAATTTTTATTTAAATTAATTTTCTAAAACTTTTGGATGTCATATAATAAACATATTTCACGTAGAGCTTTTGTTATAAATAATTTGTTAAATTAAATTTTTTTAGAAAGCACATTTTGATGGAAAAATCCCTTAGAATTCCTCTCCTTAATGTTGTTATAACAATTTCGCGGCAAGTCAATTAACTAGTTGCCTGCTTATGTGAACGAAATCCCATTTCGTTTTTCTTTTAAACAAAATGTAAGAAATTCTTCAGCTCTGCACACTTCATACTCTAATTTCTGAAAACCTAACCTAAACTTTAAATTAAATTTAAGTCTTTAATCTAAAAAACTTTGAGTAAATTCTAGATTGCTAGAATAGAAGAGCCAACGAAAAAATTATTTGTAAATCTAAACTTACAGAATTTAATAACAGATTTTATAATTCATTATCACTAATGAACAAATTCGAATTTAACAGTTGCAAAAAACCATTTTAGTGGTTATTACAATAATATCTTTTAACTCTTCATTCCCCACATTCCTATTATCCAGATTTCCCAATTTATTTTATTTTCTGGATATAGTTTAGATTTAAGTTAATAAGCAATGTTTTAACATATTTTTCACTGCAAACTCATGTCCATACATATAAATTCAAATATAATTAAATTAAATTCAGTATTCTTAAAAGGAATTTCACAATGCATTAAGGTTCCGGAGAGCACGACTAGAGATTTTGAAACCTTTTACTACTTAATATTAAAACTTTTTGTTTATTTATCTAACTAATTTCATATTTTTTAATAAAATATTAAAAAAAAAATTATTAATTTAATAATATTTAAAAATTTGATTTCAAAATATTTTTGGCCGAGCTCCTACTCCAGTTATTCAGTGCCAAACAACCGCAATTAGAAATATTAGTTTTGTACAATTTTGAATGTTTGGTCACACCTGTACTCGACCTCTGGCTGGCTAACATATTTAAAAAATTAATATAATTGCTGAAATGAAATTAGCTAATTAAGCGCTTGTGTGAACAGCGATGAGATCACTCATTAAGTACTAAGTATTGCAATTTTTTTTTTATTGGGGACATATTCTACAACTACTCTAACAAAAAAGGAAGAACTTTTGGTCATAAGAACTAGCTGAGGAAGATATCATCAAGCTCACTATGTCCAACACTTTAATTGTCCATTGAGTCATATACCGGAAGCTGGCTGTTAGACCTGCGTTTAAAAAAATATAACCGAAAAATACAAAAAAAAAAACAACATAAAAATTAAACCAATCAAAACAGATTGTTAGTTTTATTAATAACATCATTAGCAGTAAAAAAAAATGTTTTATAAAACATAGCAAAATCACACCCTTAACTCAGTCATTAGTTTTCGAATTTGTCGCAATTTCCGCTCGGTGTAAACAGTTGTGGTTTTCCATTTAAAAACTCCACTCAATGTTTTTCTCTCTAAAAATTGGCGATAGCTCGCTGCATAGATATTCAATATTAACTACCGTAAAGTTCTCTGCTTAAGTATATAATTATATACAAATGATACAAAATAAATGCAAATACAAAAATAGATTAATATCAACTGCGTGTGCGTGTGTTTTTGCTGTTATTTCTCTTATATTGTACATCTATTTTATTTCCATTTAATTAACGTGCGAAAATTTGAACTCGAAAACGTGTTGATTAATCGCAATTTTCATTATTTGCTTAGCAATTACAACCATTTAATTGGACATGTGAGAGCGCCCATTTACCAATACATTCAAACAAACACTTAAGTGTATAAAGCTAAAATAAAACTTCTAATTATGCCTACATGTAAATATGTATGTATGTATAAAAGTATGCGTATTTGCATGGAAGTAAATAGATATATAATATAATATTGCCAAATATATATGTGGGGATATATGTATATAAGTACATACATATATAATAACTAACGCTTAAAAACTCCATACTATTTTATACTAGCATAAACAACTAATAATAATACTATTAGGTTTTTGTTAAAAGTTTTCGTGACTAGACCCCGGTTGTAAAGTTGTTCATAATAATTAAATAATAATTCTTTTCTTTTTTTGCACTTGAATGAAGTGCAAATTTATATGCAACAATTTGAAGTGAACTGGGAACTAAAAGTACAATATGTTTTCTATATATTTACATACATATGTACGTATGTGAAAGCAATCATTTACTGCTGTGGTAATAAACAAGTATATTATAAAATTTAGCAAAAATCATTTTCAAATTCGTTCGCTCTTCCCAAAGCCGAATTACAATGAAACACTATAAGCCACGCAAGTCACTTCTTCTTCGTTGTAATGGGACGTAGTCAAGTTTCTGGGTATGTAGTTACAGTCGCGATGCTATACTCAATTCCTACTCTTGCGTCCACATCGAGCATACTGACAGCATGTGAGCAACTCTTTAGCAAGATGCGGTAACTAACCCTCGTGGAGCCTTGAGTCACGGCTTAAAAAGAGGAAACTTTTATGGAGTCACTCCGATGGATTCATTTTAAAGATTTTCTCAAGTCTAATTACACCATCTGTGTGGCTGTGAGCGGGCGTCGGTCTTAAAGCAAGCGGCTCGGTATATAAATGTTAAAAAAAAAAAAACTTGCTCGCCTAGTGAAATTGTGCGCTGGGTTTGGCACTCGACACGTAGAAATCAACTACAATGATTCGAGGGCATGCACCTTGAATGTCCGGTCCCTTGATTGGAAAGGTGTCGCTGGCCAGCCGGTTGAGAGACAAAAGCTCTGCGCAATTAGAAAGGCAAAAATATCGCTACGTTTAAAGAGTTTTCGCAATTTTTATTTTAATTTCATCATTAGACAAACATTTTTATATTAAATAATGAAATGCAATGCTTTTCACCTGACAAAAAACTTTCGAATTCTTTACCAACTGCTTTTCATTAATTGTTTTGTCCTTTAGTAGTTCCTCTTTTGCAAAACAGAAAGGTTTCGACCAAGAACCAATTGAATAAGTATTAAAAATACTTACATGATTCCGAAAGGCGGAATCATTTTGACTTGAAGCGCTGCATTTATGGCACAGATTACAGAAATTACAATTTCAAATTCTCCAATTTTTCATTCGAATATATCGTCAAAAAACTAATAAAAATCGTATTCTTCATTTCTTTTTTATCACATTACTGTCAACAAGAAATTTATGTTTAAATGGTTTTCAACACATACTTGTACCCCACATACCATGTAGGAAAAGTTAGTAGCTTAAAGCCAAGCAATTTCTAAACAATTTTATCGGAATTAGTCAATTTATGTTCCACTATTTTCAATAATAATATCAGACCACAGGAAGAAAAACAAATGTAACTTACATCGAGCTGATGATTTATTTGCTTTCCTTAAAAATCAATTATTATATGCATATGTTATTCAAATATATATAGTAGTTTTTGTTTTTCACCACAGGGTACGCTTATGCATTTTGAAGCACAATCAGACTGTCGCCAATAACACAATGCATTTGCTATGTACGAGACATGCAAATCAATATTTTTTGCGGTATTAAAAGCAATAATTTCAAAAGCGAAAATGTGGACAACAATAACATTGTCAGCAATAAAAAATATCTAATGACGGAAAGTAAAATTCTCAAGAACTAAAAGTTGAGAGATTTAAGAACAAAATATTAAAGGCGTACAAAATGCTAAAGCAAAAATCAAGACATGTTGTTAAAACCAAAAGCAAAAAGGAATAACTCCGAACTGGCAAATACTCATAGTTACGACTAATGAGACGTACTCAGAACTCATCTATATTATATTATTCAATTTAATTTATTTTATTTTAATTTATTTTATTTTATTTTATTTTATTTTATTTTATTTTATTTTATTTTATTTTATTTTATTTTATTTTATTTTATTTTATTTTTTTTTATTTTATTTTATTTTATTTTATTTTTTATTTATTTTATTTTATTTTATTTAATTTTATTTTATTTGATTATTATATTACTTATATTATTTAATTTTTCTTTTGTTTTATATTATATTGCTTATTTATTTATTATTTTTTTAATAATCTTTTCCATTTATATTTTTTATTTAACTAAAATATATTTTAGACAGTTTTATCTGATTTCATGTCGTATAATTGCTTTAATTTAGCATTACTGGGGATCTTCGGCTTTGTTGATGGTAATTGCCAAGGATATTCGGACAGAAAACTGTTGTCGCTTGAATTGAAGGGGAGTATCTGACGGTATGATAGGATATTACATTCCTCTGTAAGTTACTGAAGTGCAAGTCGCGTGCCATTGAAAAGTCTCTGCTGATTTATATTAAAATTCTGTTATATAATTGACTGCCAAGTCTTCTTCCACAACGGTGTCTATTTACTTGTATTTG